TATCTATCTATCTATCTATCTATCTATCCATCTATCTATCTAATCAGGGCATCTCTGCTCTATTGACCCATCTAGGCCTGAACACTCAAGTGATCTTCCTATCCTTTGGTCCTCCAGCCTGACACGGTGTGATTCATTCTACTTGGTCAGAATGTAATCCAGTAGCTGTAGAGGTTCAGCTTGCCGGATCTTCTGAGCTTTTAAAGGGAAGATGTAGATTCATTTTGTTCCCTTTGTTCTGCTACCACCCCCTTCAAAAAAAAAGCTAACAGCTTGCTCTATGTTCTGTGATTGTTGAAAACTTCCTTGTAGCAGAGGCAGGTTGGGTGTATAGCACCTCACAGGCCAGTGGGGCAGGGAGACCCGGCAAGATGGACGCATGTCTGAGGTAAAGCCCTTGCTGCTACCTTTTTGAAGTTTTAAGTTTGGCTATTTTGTTTGTTTGTTTTGAGCTGGGAACTCAACAGCAGTCCACCTGCCTCATCCTCCCATGAGTTGGGATCACAGGTTTGAGACAGTTGGATCAGATTTAAATAGTTTCTAGAGGAGGGCCCACGGTTTCACTCTGCTCTGGGCTCTGCAACTTCTTTAAATTCAAAAATTCCATTTTTGGGCCGGCCAGTGGTGGTACCCACCTTTAATCCTAGCACTTGGGAGGCAGAAGCAGGTGGATTCCTGTGAGTTCGAGGCCAGCCTGGTCTCCAGAGCTAGTTCCAGGACAGCCAGAGCTACACAAAGAAACCCTGTCTTGGAAAAACAAAACAAAACTGAAACTAAAAACAAAAAATTCCATTTTCAATGGAGGGAAAGGATAATCCACTCAGAGGGAGAGCAGAAAATGGTTCAAAGAAGGGGCCACTTGGCCCAGGGAAGGGAGGAGCTGTAAACAAAAGGAGGTGGCAGTCTGGGAGGCTGACCTCACTGCAGGAGCCGAGTCTGCTTGTGAGTTCATGTGGTTGTGTAAGTAAGGGCTGAATATGTGTGTGTGTGGCAGGGGGGAGTCCTCAATGTATCAAACTGTGTGGCCTCTGAGTATGAGGTGCTTGCCATGCATGCAAGCGCACAGGATGAAGGATGGTTTGAGTGTGAGACTGTTGCCAGTGTGGGTGGTGTATGTAATTGTGCGATATGTAGTGTTTGCCGTATGTGTGATTGTGGCGTGTAGGGGCGAGCTGTCTCTGTGGCACCAGTGGTGTGTGCTCCTGTGAGCGAGGCACAGTTTGAGAGTCACTGATGAAGTCCCCTCTGTGCTAGGTGCTGACAATTTCTGCTCCTTTGAGGTGCTGATACTGGGTAAGGGACAGAAGTGAACAAATGGACAGATGGGAAAAACTAAAAAAGTCCCTTACTGAAGTTCCTACCTTGGGAGAGCAGAGAGGCACAATGTGTTGGCTAAAGTCGAAAGGCCCAGCATAGGCCGGGCGGTGGTGGCGCCCGCCTTTAATCCCAGCACTCGGGAGGCAGAGGCAGGCGGATCTCTGTGAGTTCGAGACCAGCCTGGTCTACCGAGCGAGTTCCAGGACATGGTCCAAAAAACAATACAGAGAAACCCTGTCTCAAAAAAACTAAAAAAAAAAAAAAAAAAAAAAAAAAAAAGGCCCAGCATAGCAGTCAATGAATGAACCCTTTTCCAGTGATGAAGGCGCAGTGTAAAAAACAAAAGAAAACAAAATAACAAGAGCTTCCCACTTCTTCACCTCCCTCCGGGAGTAACTGCAAAGCTAGTTTGGGAGGGTGGGGCTGTGGAATTCTGGGGACCATTCAGAGAAGGCATGGCAGCCAGCCCAGCACCCAAGGCTTGGGCCCATTAGGCACACCCAGGCCCTGGAGGGTTGACCTCTCTCTGACCCACCCAGTAACACACATGATCCCACAGAAGTTGATAAGAGGTGACCAGCTCAGGGCAGTATATAAACAGCCCCTCCCAAGACACACCTAGAGGACCCAGGACAGGTGGCAGGGGACAGGATGGTCCCTGGGCTGGTGAGACTTGGGCTAAGTGTTCTGGCTTCCACAGAGAGCTGAGAAATGCCAGCCTAGGGGTCTGCAGGACATCACAAGTCCTGTTGGGTGGAGGGAAGAGAGAAGTATTGAGAAAGATTTAGGTAAGCGATGCTTCCCAGAGGCTGGGCATGGTAGCCTTTAGAGGCTGAAGCAAGAGGATCAAAAAGTTTGAGGCCATCCTGAGCTTCATATTGAACTCTGGGTTGTTAGTCTATTGGTCTACAAAGTGAGATCCTATCTCAAAAAAAAAAAAAAAAAAAAAGAACAAAACCCCCAACGAATCCTACCATGTGGGAGGCTGAGGCAAGATCAATGCTAGTTTAAGGTATGCCTGGGCTACAACATGGAATTAAAGACAGGTTTGGTTCTAGAGTGAAACTCCATCATAAAAGGCTGTCTCTGAGGACTGCCCTAGGCCTAGGCAGGAATGCTGGGTTTCTGGTCCCTACTCCCACCTGATCAGTGACCTTGGGCCAGCTTTTGCTCCCATCAGTGAACTGGAACACCTGGCCTTTTTGGAGGGCTATGGGATGGACCCCTTATTAGTGGGATGAGGGAAGCACCTATCAGCTGAGGAGGGCAGGACAAAGGTCTGCTTGGGCCGCGCGGCTAGTTGCCTCAGCAGTGTCAGAGTCTTGACAGGGTCCTCTTGGCCCACACATACCGAACAAGTGAGACTCCCTCGGAGGTTTCCTCTTTGGAGCTGAGGAGACTTGATGATCTAGGGAAGCATAGCAAGGATGGCCTCTCCTCAACCCCCCCCCCTGCTTTTGATTAGCAGACATTCCTCAACAAGAGGTTGTCTCTTTAAGGAAGAAAGGACTCCAGAGACAGCTCAAAGAGAAACTAGCAGTGTGTGGCACATACAAATGAGGTCATTGTTTGGCCAAGTGGAGCCCAAGCTTCCCCAGTTAGATGGCCACAACAGCAAAAACCTCCACTCTTGACAAGATGTAGACTTGTTCCAAGATGGCTTGAGAAAGAGTCTAGGTTCTCTCACAACTCGGCTAGTCTCTTCAACCAACCTCCTTATTCTTTTCAGGACTCATTGCTTCTCTAGAGCAAGCCCCGTTTCCAGACATAACACAAGATACTCCTCTTTGCAAGATTCCTTCTTTATCTGCACTCCTCAGGAAATAGAATAATCTGGTATTTCCAAGGCAACAGGCGTTAATGAGTTTACTTACACAACGGCTGGCTTGGTTGTGTGTGTGTGTGTGTGTGTGATGGGGGTGGGACAGGACACAGGAGTACTAAGAGTCTCTCTACATACTTTGGCTGGGCTTAGAACATTGGTCACCAGGGTGACTTTAAAACTCACAGCGGCAGAACAGTCATGGTCACACCTTTAATCCCTGCACTTGGGAAGCAGAGTCAGGCGAATCAATCGATGAATCTGAGACCAGCCTGTTTTACAAAGTGGTAGGACAGCCAGGACTGTTAGAGAAACCCTGTCTCGAAAAACCAAAACAAGCTTTAATCCCAGCACTCAGGAGACCGAGACAGGCAAATCGCTCTGAGTTCCAGGCCAGTCTGGTCTACAGTTGGAATTCCAGGATAGGTTCCAAAGCTACACAGAGAAACCCTGCCTCAACAGAGATCATCTTGCTTCTGTTCCTCAAGCTCTGGCCTTACAGGCGAGTGAGCTACCACCCTCACCAACAGCACCTCACTTTGTGCATGTGGGCAAGTATCCTAGCGGAAGAATCACTAACACCGTGGACAGACAGACAAACATGGCCAGGTTTTGAGCACAGTTCAGATCCCAGCACCAGAGACAAGCAGCATGGAGAGACTCAAGAAATTAGGGCCTCAACTTTTTTTTTTTGAGACAGGGCATCTCTGTAGTGCTAGGTATCCTGGAACTCCTTCTGTAGACCAGATTGACCTTGAACTCACAGAGATCCACCTGCCTCTGCCTCCTCAGTGCTGGGATTAAAGGCATGTTCTTTCCTTAACATTTCAAGTTCAAAATATTTTCTTTATTGAGAATATCCAATGAAACATTTTCTGTACCAAAATGTTAAAGACAAAAATTACACACATAACTTAGAAAGATTCAGGTGGTGTGGTGTATGCCTTTCATCCCAGGACTCAGGGATGGAAGGTGTGGGGGCAGCTTGAGGCACAGTCTGGTCTGTGCTACGAAATCCTGTCTCACTGTCTCCAAATATGAACAAAACAACCAAAAACCAAGTTGGAGACCTCCCAAGTCCAAGCTAAAGGGCGGAGCCTAGCAACATCTAGGGAATCTCACTTTCTGCATCTCTTCCAGGATAATCTCTAGAAGAGGATGCAATGAGACTAAGTGGGAGAGGGGGCGTTTAGCCCAGTGCCTGACTAAAGACTTAGCTGTCAACAGTGATCAGCTCCCATCTTTCTCATCAAGCATTCATCTCCATTTTGTTTTACTTTTTCACTTTACAAGATCGTATCTGTGATTGCATGTCAGTCACAAAAGCTCGGATTCAGATTACAGGTCTTTAGCATGAAGCCAAATTGGCTAGAATGCAAAGGCGTCTGTTCACAAGGCTAGACTTGCAATTCTAGACTTCTGGGAGGACATCAGATCCAAACTCTTGTTGTACAAGAGGAAGCAGCCCTGAAGAAGACAGATTTGACCAAGGTCACTGAACATGTGGTTGGTGGCAACAGGATAGTTCTCGTCCAGTTTCTTTTTTCTTTTTGTTTTTTTTTTTTCGAGACAGGGTTTCTCTGTGTAATAGCCCTAGCTGTCCTGAAACAAGCTCCAGCTGACTTTGAACTCCCAGAGATCTGCCTGCCTCGTGCCTAGTCCAGTTTCTAAAGCCTTGTCCCACCTTCGTGAAGCCTGGAGTGCTTTCACAGCCTCAGCCATTTTCTTTGCTCTCTTTTCAGCCTCTGGCTACACAAGTCCACACACCCAGGCCTCACATACATATTTCTGCATGTTTATCTCTCCTCCATGCCTTATCCAGTCTATAGCCCCAGATTTCAATACACAACTCAGACCAAGGTTAGAAAAAGCTTAGAAGGCGCTTTATTGGAGGCCTAAGCCTCCAGGAACCCCATCTTGAGGGGTCTGGCATCACCCCACTTCTTGCTGGTCCAGTTAGGAGCCCCAGAACTCAGAGTGGGAGAAGAGCAGGGAGGGGGATGCTTTAGAAAAAATAGCTCTCTATGTACAACTGGAATATTTATAGCACATAAATTAGGGATGCTCTAACCCCCGCCTGTGGGAGCCTGAGTACCGGGCCGAGAGAAGGAAGTCAGTCCAGGACGAAGTGCTGGAGAAGACAACCCTGCCTCTTCTGTCCCTACACCCTCCTCCTCCTCCCATGTCTCCCCAGCCTCCTCAGCTGAGCCCAGGCATCTGCAGGTGGGTCTCTTTGGCAGTCAGTGCTGGGGCTGGAAGGAGCTGGATTCACAGCTGTAGAGTCAGCGAACAAGTCGCTTCAAACCCTGGGGCTTGTAATTCCAAAAGGAGGGCAAGGAGAGGCCACACAGGCTGCACTTCATGATACGACACAGCCGACGGACGGGTTCCTCCTCTCTACAGCAACACAGGGAACACATCCACATGAAGGGGGCCTTCCAGCCTGCCTGTCCTTCCAAGAAGGCTTCAGTTCAAGTTTGTGTCTGAGCCAGGTCCTGGGTGCAGTCCAGACCCTTAATTCCGACTCTCTATGATCTCTTCCTCTTTCCAGCCACTGGAGTTCTTGCCGAACTTGTAGACGAGCCGACGGCCGTCCACCCGTTCCAGTATCTCCCGTTTGTAGTAGTACCTGGGCAGGAAAAGCATGGTCAGAGGTGCAGGCAGGAGCCATGCTATGTACTGAGGGTCCCCCTGGCCTTGCTGGCTGCCCTGAGCCTTCCCTGGTCCCACCTGCTGACGCCACATTGACCTATAATTATGGCCCAGCACCTGTTTCTGCATTAACTTCTCTGTGCCTTCTGGCTATGTCCTGGGGCTTTTCACGAAGGCACATGAACATAGGGACAGAGGGGCTTGATGCCAAACTCGTCCTCTACCTGGCACCCAGGGCAAAGGAGCTGAGCTGTGAATACACTGCTCTGTCCCTGAGTGTCTTTCTGAGGACAAATCTACAGAAATCAGAAATGTTAGCCGGAGTTGTGTGCTCAGACGTCTGACAAATGCTTTCCTCGCGCTTCAACGGGCCAACGAACCAACTAGGCCAACCCTGGCCTTGTTCCCTCCCTGTGAGCCTCACACTTGTCACAAGTAACCTAGCAGAAGACAGTAGAGTCCAGTTAGAGGTCTCCGACAGATCAGGGGATGCTGGCGTGCATCCCTATAGGACAGGTGCTAGCCACCAGCTCACCTCATGGCCCGGCTCAGCTTCTCATAGGTCATGTTGCTGTTCTTTTTCTTTTGGCCCCATAGCTGGGCCACGGCCTCTGAGCGAAGGAACTTGAACACACCCTCATGCCGATTCTCCCACTTCATGAGGCCTTCGTTGAGTTCAGGGTGGATGAGGATGTCTCGAATGAACTCCCACAGATGAGTTCCTCTGGGGGCTACAAGGGGAGATCTCCTCAGTTGTCAGTATGGGGTGCCTCACTGCTGCAGGCCATCTGGCCTCGCCTATCCCAACAATGCTAAGAGCTCAAGCCATGATGGCCGTTTTAGAAGCACTGGACAATGTCCTCTTAGGGATTGCCGCAGTGGCTGCTTCTTTCTTTGCCCCATAATGCAGTGCGCATGGAGGGACTGCACGGAGCACACAGTTCTCTGCGGCTCAAACATCTCGCTAAGGTGGAAAGACACCGAGGGGCTCATGAATGGATCACTGGGGATCCACGTTGGTGAGAACTTGGCACACATGGGGACAGAGAGTTGGCTATAGACCAGAGGACCAAGGAACAGCTTCCTGGAAAAAAAAAAAAGATCCCCTGGGGACAAGAACGAAAGCAGGCCAGGAGTGCATACGTGCAGGCCTGTATGTATGAAGGAGGCAGCAAGCAAGACCTTTGGGGTGACCTCCAGGTGGCTCAGAGCAGCTGGGACACACAGAGCCCGAGGCCCCTTCAGCAGGCTGTGCCTGGAGTCGTGGCCTTCCAGCCCACTGGACTGAGTCCACCTGAGCACCTACCAGCTGCCTCCTCACCATCAGAAAGCTCCATCAGGCAAGACAGGGGCCAAGCACAAAAAGTTAGAGAGGGGGTTGTGTGGGAAGCCTGGAGTGTCTCTGTGAACCTCCCCTTGGAGGCCTCAGTTTCCCCGCTTCTCTAAGTCCAAGCAGGCCTCTGTAATGAGGTGATTGCTAATGCCATGGAGCCTCCCAACTGTTCACAAAGGTAAGAAGTGACCAATGGCCTGAAGAGGCCCGTCAGCCCGTCCGTCCGTCAGCCCCTGGAACTCACCGTGCTTGCTCTTCTTGCCCTCCAGGCAGTCCCAGTACTCTTTGCTCAGCTTTCGGGGACGCCCACGTTTCCTCTTCCCGTGCTTGGGTTCCCCCTTCTTATAGTCAGGAAAGCCATCTGTAGGAAGGGGTTGGAAGGCCAAAAGCGGGTGAGGGCGGGTGTCACTGGGGAGCCTTTCTATAGAAACCACAGCAGAGCAGAGAGTGGCTGGACACTGGACCAGGACCCCCAAGATCAGCCCCCAACTCACCTGTAGGGAAGACCTTGCTATCAGTGAGATCCAGGTCCAAGTCACTTCCACCGGAGTCAGAGGAGTGGGAGCTCTGGGGAGTAGTGGTCCCTAGGAATGGAGAACTCCGCTTGAGTGCTGGGGTCAGCCTACCCAGCTACTGCCTGCAGATTCAGGCGCTCATTCTGGGAACCAGATGCACTCTGGGGCCTTTGGAGAAGGGAGGCTGAGGCAAGGACAGGACTCTCACCTGCAGTAGAGACGTCAGAGCTACCAGGGGACGGTGCTCCAGGGCCATAGGTACTGCTGTAGTAGGGGCTGGCCTGGCGGCCATCATCCAACAGCTCCTGGGCAAAAGGGCTTCCCTGATCTGGGAAAGGAAGATGGAGCTTACTTAGAGAGGCCCAGGGGGACCAGCAAGGACAGGTGAGACCACCCATGGGCCTGAGAACTGGCTGCAGAGTATTTTCTTCTAGTTGGGAGGGTTGCAGATGATATCTTGGGAAAGGAAAATAAAATGGGCTCTCACCAAAGGGGCCTGAGTCTCCCAGGCCCTCCTGGAAGGCCATGCCATCCTTCTCCAGCAGTTCGATGATCCAGCTGAGTTCGTCAGAAGAGCTGGAGGCTGGTGGAGGCAGGGAGGGGTCACTCTCCATCTCTCGCAGGACAGAGGAGCTCCAAGTCCTTCCCAAGGCCGGTCCTCCCTGTTCACTCTGGAGGCCCCGTGGCTCCCCTGGCCTAGACTTACTGAGGTCTCGAAGCTGGGCATAGAGTTGGTCCCCCAGAGACCCAAAGACCAGTCTTAGCTCCTCAAGGGCACAGTTGCAGAGGGTGGCGCCGTCCATATCACATCTCGAGAAGTCAATGGAACTGGCGTCGTATTTGTTTTTCTCCACTTGGTAACTGATCCAGTCCAAAACCTGGGTCTTGGACCAGAACTGGGGCTGCTCGCCTGACCAGCTTGCCTTCTCTGAAAGGTGGGGAACAGCCAGAGTCAACACGGGCCACAGTTCTGATGTCCTTTGGTGATCTTGTCTGAGGTCCTACCCTCCCATGGGACTGTGTGTATGTGGGGTGTAATCCTCACAATCACGATACCCCTGGCTTCACAGCTTTCCTTGGTCTGTCACAGTCCCTAGACTCCCCACCACCTCAGCCACTACAGGCTTCTCAGGGGCTCCCAGCACAGTCTAGCATGGATAAGGTCTTGCTTGGATTCTCTCTCCAGCGCTGCTCAAATAAATAAATGAATAAATTCTCCCCAGCCCCTAGCTTTGGGGTTCTTTTGGAGACCTCTCTCCCTACCCATTTATCCAAGAGCCTCTCAGACAAGGGTCCTGTCTCTCAAGACACCCCACTACACAGCACTCACCTGGACCTTCCAGCGACATCTGGGGGTTGTTCATAGTCAAGACCAAGTCATCGCTGCCAAAGGTAGTCGCTGGAGGAGCGGGAGCCAGGGTGGGGTCTTCCGAACTGTACATGGCGTTGAAGTAGTTACTAAAAACGTTGCTGATCTCACAGGTGGCAGCCATGAGGCCCCCTGGGAAGAAGAGACAAGTTGGTGAGGGTGCAGGTCAAGGCGCACTTCCATTACTCTGTGCGGGCCAAGCCTGGGCAGCTACAGCCAAGAGGCAGGAAGGAGTTCGGCGTCGCTGTAGACATTTTCCCTTCAAAAAGCCCCCGAAGAACCAGCTACTTGGGAAGCTGGGTTTGGATGATCTCTTGAGCCTAGAAGCACCAGGCCAAGGCAGCGCCAAACTGGGAAATTCCGCTCCAAAAAAAATAATCTCAATCAGGGTGGAACCACGAGACCAACTCTGCTGGGGCTCCCTCCACAAATCACCTGGGCCCTTGAACCAAAGAAACCACCCTGTACCTCCAAGACACTGATCTGGTCTCTGACCAGTCCCGGAACACCCCCACAGCCCTAACACTCCGGCTAGGAAGCTCCAAGCTAGAGTAATTAAGTTCAGAATTGTAAATCCACTGGACGTTTCCCGGGGCCAGAGTTAGGGAATGTGACCCTACCGAGAGTCAGGGTTCGATGTGGCAGGCGGGTAAGGAGGCTTCTGAGGCCACAGGAAGGGAAGAAATCTGGGCGGCTGAAGGCTCCGCCAGGTAGCAGTGCTGAGTGTGGCCAGAGCGCTCCCCCACCCGTACTAAATAGAGCAGTGCGCCAGCTCCTCCCCGCCAGGTCTACAGTGTGCGTCCCCAGTTGTAACCTGAGCTGGTGGCTCATTGGATGCAGGGGATTTCCTTCAGACCGGGCTCCCGGTCCCAGGTGATTTGCATATTCCGTGCCACTTGGCCCAGATCCTAGCAGGCGGTGCTGGGAAATCAGGCCTGGCTAGTTTAATGATTGTCAGAGTCTGTCATTCCGCACCCTCTGGGGTTGGGCCCTGGGTACTGGACTGGGCAGGTGGCGGGAACATGGCTGGGGGTGGGCACCTGTGCTTTAGGCCGTCCTCTGGCCCGGGGACATTCTCCCTGGGGGCCAGGTCAGGGCTGGACTAGGGAGGGGAAAGCAAGGTGAGGAATCTGAACCGGTGACTGGGTCAGAATGGCTGCATCTAACTGTCCAGAGGTCTGGGGACAAAAGGGTCCAGTAAAAGTTACAGAGACTAAGGCATTTTCTCCACAACATCCAGAATCTGGGGTGCCGAAAGCGTCTAGGCATTACACTGGGCCACATTCACGGTCCAGGGGTGGTTTGAGCCTGCCAGTCAAGCCAGCCACAGAGCGTTTGGTGGCACTTTGCCTATCTGGAGCCCACCCAAGCACGATGGTTGCTACAGCGGGAAAGATTGGGCACTGCTTCAAAGGTCTAACATGGTGCCTGTGGCGTTCTCCCTGCCTAGGGTCGGCTGGAGGTGCTGGAGTTCACATGGGTAAGGTTCAGCCGCCTTCGTCTAGTGATTACTCCTTTCTCTATCCAGTCAATTAGTATCTGCCTGCTGCCCTCTAGTGGTCAAAAGCCAATACTTACGTCATTACACACAGAAAGGGACTGTGCCTTCTAATACACTGTTTACCAGGCACTTAAAAAACAAAAAAACCGGGCGGTGGAGCAAGCCTTTAATTCCACACTCAGGAGGCAGAGGCAGACCGCTTTCTGTGAATTTGATGCCAGCCTGGTCTACAAAGTAAGTTCCAGGACAGCCAGGGCTATACAGAGAAACCTTGTCTTGAAAACAAACAAACAAACAACAACAACAAAAAACCCAAAAAACTGAGGTGCTAGAAGTTGAACCCAGAGCTTCCTAGGCAAGCACTCTACAAATCTACAAATGGGCTATATTCCCAGAACAGTTTGTTTTTTGAGACAGTGTTTCATTATGTATGGGAGACTGACCTCAAACTCCAGAGATAGACCCTGGGGCTGGAATTAAAGGTGTAAGCAGCCCTAAGCAGCACCAGAACACTTTAAAGACAACACACTTCATACAAAAACATTCAACAAGCAATGTGGGGCTGAAGGATGACTCAGTGGGTAAGGGTGTCTACTGTGGAGCCCGATGACCTGTGTCCCATACATGATAAAGGATATTAAGACAAGGTCTCTCTACATAGTCCTGGCTGTCCTGGAACTAGTTTCCAACTAACAGAGATCCACCTGCCTCTGTCTCCTCCGTGCTGAAATTAAAGGCATGTGCCACTATGCCTGGCTATAAATACAATTTTTTTTTTTTTTGGTTTTTCAAGACAGGGTTTTTCTGTATTGTTTTGGAGGCTGTCCTGGTACTCGATTTGTAGACCAGGCTGGCCTCAAACTCACAGAGATCCACCTGCCTCTGCCTCCCGAGTGCTGGGATTAAAGGTGTGCACCACCAACGCCCAACTCTATAAATACAATTTTTAAAATATTTAAAATCAGCCAGAAAACAAACAAACAAACCAGATGGTAGTGCCTCTCAGCACTCAGGAGGCAGAAACAGGTAGATCTCTGTGAGTTGGAAGCTAGCCTGGTCTACAGATCGAGTTCCAGGACAGGCCACAGAGAAAAACCTTGTCCGGAAAAACAAACAAACAAAACAAAACAAAAAAATATTTAAAAGCAGTGTTGGACATGTGTGATGGTGCATGCCTTAAATCCAGCACTCCCATGGTAGATGAGTCTTGTTGAGTTCAAGGCCAAGTCTGGTCTACATAGTGAGACCTTTTCTTAAAAAAAGGGGGGGCTGGAGGGATGGCTCAGTGGTTAAGAGCACTGGATGCTCTTCCAGAGGACCCAGGCTCAATTCCTAGCACCCACATGGTAGCTCACAAGTCTCTATAACTCCAGCTCCAGTGGATCTGATACCTTCACAACAATGCACATAAATAAAGTTAACTAAATTGTTTTTTAAAAAAGTGACATGTAGTTGTCTTCATAAGTGGTTTGTCCAGGCCACCAAATCAGGGAAATAATGAGGTGTTGCTGGGGCCTTTTCCCTACATGTAGTGCCTCTACACCCCACTCAGAGTCCTGTGTAATCCATGGCTCTTGGTGGACTCAGCCCAAACACAAGAGACCAGCTTTGAAGATCCCTCCCACCATCCCTGAGTAAAGGGGGGGGGATGGGGGGGAGTGGTCCAAGGAGGAGGGTGGAGACTCATACTTCAGCATCTGCACTCAGGTAGTCAAAGACAGGGACTTCTGCACATCAGCCAGAGGCTGTGTCTAGAATTCTAGCTACCCAGGATGCTGAGGCAGGCACACTGAGCTTGAGGGTAGCCTGGGCAATTTAGACTAAATACTGCCTGAAAAACAAAGAGCTGGCAAGATGGCTTAAGAGAGAAAAACCCTTGCAGTCCTAATCTGATAAATTAAGTTCCATCTCTAAAAGCCACCCAAAGACAGGAAAGAAAAGATTCCACAAAGTTCTTCTGGCCTCCACATGCACAGGTGGCATGAATGTGCCCCAATAACAGGAAATAATGCTTTAATTTTTAAAGGGGTAGGGCTGGAGATGTGGCACAGTTAGTAGATGCTTGCCTAGCATTCACAAAGCCCTGGGTTTAATCTCCAGCACTGCATAAAGATATATGTGGTGGGGGCTGGAGAGATGGCTCAGGGATTAAGAACACTAGCTGGTCTTCCGGAGGTTCTGAGTTCAATTCCCAATAACCACATGGTGGCTCACAACCATCTTCAATGATATCTGGTGCCCTCTTCTGGCCTGCAGGGATACATGAAGACAGAACATTGTATATCTAATAAATACATCTTTTAAGAAAAGATATACGTGGTGGCCTCTGAAATTTCTAGGCTCAGGGTCAGTCTCAGCTACATAAGGAATTTGAGTTATCTTAGGCTACAGTAGACTCTTGTCTCAAAAGCAAAACCAGAAACTAGCAAAGAATGAGGGCGTGACACCCTCTAATCCTTTACATTTCTTCCAGTTCCAGTTGTTTTTTGTTGCCCAAGGAGTCAACCTTGGACATTATGAATTCAGCAAATTCTCCACATTAAACTATCAGTTTTTTCTGCTTCTAAGATACAGGATCTGGCCAGGCAGTGGTGGCACACACCTTTGATCCCAGTGCTTGGGAAGCAGAGGCAGGAGGATTCTGAGTTTGAGGCCAGCCTGGTCTAGAGTGAGTTCCAGGATAGCTAGTGGTGCTACACAGAGAGACCCTGTCTGGAAACACACACACACAGACAGACACACACAGACACACAGTATTAGATTTGTGTTTTCTCTCCACTCCATTTACATTTACGGGACACACACAATGCCCAGGGGTTGGTCCTCAAACAAAAGGTGATTCCTTTGCTTCTAGGTATCCCATTGTCGGATGACCATAACCCCCCACCCCCCACCCCCATCCCCACAGGACCCACTCTCCATCTTCAAAACTACAGGCTCCTTTCCACTAGGTCAAGGCTGCTGGAGAGCCAGGGGCTCTGAGTAGGATTTTCACTGGCCCTCAGGGGACCTCCCCAAAGCAGCCTGAGGCAGACACACCCTATACCTAGTCACTCAGCCTGGAATGTGGGAGAACCAGCTCTTAGCCCCTGGGCTGCTCATATGCTCCTTCTCCCAAGAACACCTGGTTGGGTTTCCAAAGCAAAGTGAGGAGGAAGATAGAGAGAATGAAGCCATCAGTTAGCACCCTTGCCTTCATGGAGCCTCTCCCAGAGAAACAGCCACGGCAATCTTTTTGTGTGTGTGTGTGTGTGTGTGTGTGTGTATGTGTGTGTGTGTGTGTGTGTGTGTGTGTGTTTGGTTTTTCCAGACAGGGTTTCTCAGTGTTGTTTGGAGGCTGTCCTAGAACTTGCTCTGTAGACCAGGCTAGCCTGGAACTCACAGAGATCCACCTGCCTCTGCCTCCCGAGTGCTGGGATTAAAGGCATGTGCCACCAACACCCGGCTCAGCCATAGCAATCTTATCGCTAGCCCATCCCTCTGAGTATTATTTTTCTTTCCCAGTCAAATGGAGAAGAAAGTGAGAAAGAATTGGATTTGAAGTTAGTACTTTGGAAGGTTGGTTCCAAGACCCTGTTGAGAGCAGCTATGAGGCAGGGGAAGCAAGGGACCTTTGTCCTGGCCTGCCTACATGCTGGACATGGCAGGAGAGCCTGATGCCTTTCCCAAAGATCCTCAGTAGCATAGCTTCATCTTCAGGATGGGAGGGTAACTAGAACACTGTCCTCCAGTCCTGTGAGAGCACAAGCAGACCCAAGATGGTGAGTGAGACAGGCCACACAACTCCTGATGCCCAAGCTATGAAATAGGAATGGAAGCTGGGCAGTGGTAGGGCGAGGGGTTGGTCTCAGCACTCGGGAGGCAGAGGCAGGCAGATCTCCGAGCACAAGCCCAGCCTGGTCTACAAGGAGTTTCAGGTCAGCCAGGGCTACACAGAGAAACCATGTCTGGAAACACACACCAACAGACAAAATCAATCAAACAAACAAAAAAGATATTGGCAGAACTCAGGACTGATAGGATAGGTGTGAAGGCTGAGGGTCAGGGGAGGCAATGGGACAGTCCTAAAATCAGTAGGAGTTAGCCAGGCGTTGGTGGCGCACGCCTTTAATCCCAGCACTCGGGAGACAAGAGGCAGGGGGATCTCTGTGAGTTCGAGGCTAGCCTGATCTACAGAGTGAGTTCCAGGACAGCCTCCAAAACAATACAGAGAACCCCTGCCTCGAAAAACAAAACAAACAAACAAATCACTTGGAGTTTACAAGTA